TAGCTGATGGAGGTGCATTACCATCTGTGGCTGAAGAACGTCCTCCACCAAATGACATGTACCCTGCTTCCAAACCAACTTGGAGTGCCGCCTGTAAGCTGGTGGTGTGCCAATATATGCATACACTGAAGAGGCAATAGTGAGATTGGCTGCTCCTCCCCCTGGGTTCTGTAGGATGTAGTGCAGTTTCTTCTGTGTCACCAGTTGCCCATCAATGTAGATGCAAAGGGAGGAGTTCTTGAGCACAGAGCGGCTCAGAGAGACAGCCAGGTGGTGCCACTGACCTTCTGTCAACAAGTCTGGGCACCACACTCGGCAGCCAAAGTCACCTACCATCTCTGGCTCCCATTCTTTGACAGCTGCAAAGAACAGATTCATACTTATGTTACCACTAAACAAGACAATAAATTAATGGCTCATCTTGAATCAATATAATTAGTGGCTGAATAAAATTATCCCCTCAAAGACAGTATCGGAGATCTAACAGCGTCTCTGACTCAGGCGACTTCAGACAACCATCTTGCCGTTTGGCCCGGGAGTATGCTATATTTAGCAGAACTTTCCATTCAATGCACCCTAGCGCATAGTGACAACTATAGCCGTACCCGGCTATAGGTGTCATGATGGCTTTAGGTGTGGCCCAGTAGATACAGGTTAAATATCAATATCACTAAGCATTTTATATTTTCATCTTCGGATAGAAAATTATAACTGTATGTGAAGCCATATTCCATAACAAATCTTCAAAGAAACTCACCTTGTCCAGGCTGTGGCAAATTAGTCTCATGTGTGGACACAATCAGAGCTTTGTCTCTCGCTGAAATGACAATTGACAGGCACACCAAGTGGTGGTCGCGGCCTGGGACATGTCGGGCAAGAGTTAGCACCCGCACACAGTGTGGATCTGTCCGGGGGTCACTGTATTTCTCAACACACACCCAGGTGCTGTATGTGAGGCCAGTCTGAGGTGGGAAGATTCGATCCCCTGAAAATAAATGAAGAAAGGAAAATTAAGTCTTGAAATAACAATACTCCGTTTTTAATTATCAGCAACCTCTTAAAACTTTTATATGTTTAAGTACATCAGTTTTAATTTACACTTTTCAAAGTTATTCAGTGTATGTATAACCACCTTGAAATTGAAGTGGATATATCTTTTAAAAAATTAATCCAAATTTAGAACTCTAGAAAATAAATGGATTCCTAAATTCCACGTAAGCATCTTAATATCAATTTCCATTTCAACCGCATACTCCAATGCAACTTGAATCTTATCTCATTAACACTCATAATTTATATCAAGTTTCAATACTGCAACTGAACCAACATACCTGTTCCAATGCCCCCGATGACATTGGGCTCTGTGGAAGAGAGGGCCGACCCAACCACCGATCCGCCTCCAGCACTCTGTGGTGCAATGGAGGGAAGGAACAGACAGCCAAAGCCTTCTGCACTCATGTCAAACTCCACAAAGGAAGGATACACCAATGTTCCTACTCTGTAAGACAAAAGTATAATCTGTTAGTTCAGTATATCAATTTCAAAAAGGGACTGGCTTCCCATTAATATCAGTCTACATGGTCTCACTTTGTTTTCAAAATGATCGAGAAACACATTTAATATATGTCACTTATATATATATCATAGGAGTAGAAATCATATGAAGAGAAAAAATATATGACAAACCATTTCATATATGCTTTTTAGTGTCACTAAAGACATGGAAAGCAAAATATACAAAAAAGGAGTGTAAACAAGTTATCTATTGACAAAATGATAAAAACACTTTACCTAAAGTCCCTGGGTGTTGTCATCGACACAATTGTTTTTATCCGTGTAAGAGGAACAGGGCCATTGCTTGGTGACTGCCCCCTGCTAATGTCTATTTCATCCAAGTTCTGGCAGTTCAGAGGATTACCTAGTCTTAAGAAGATCCTAGAAACAACGCAAAAATACATAAGCATAAGATTATTTTTCTTTAACTGAGTACATCTATCTACACATACATCTGAAAATTTATTACATTTATAAAACTTTATATATATATATATATATATATATATATATATATATATATATATATATATATATATATATATATATATATATATATATATATACAGCATCATTTCTGCATATTTTCCACAATATCAAGTCTATACAATTATAAAATATTATATAACTCCATAGAACCTCTACCCAGTTTCCCAATCCTGGCAAGAAGCCTCTATCAGTATGTTGGTATGCCAAGAATGGCCATCTCCCCAAAGACATGTATCATGCATCATTATGTCAGTTCAATTATAATTTATAAACATTTTAACATGCAGAATCTGGGGAATTTAGGTAAAAAAAATGGAACCAATGCCTAATTCAATCATACAAGTCTGGATCATCAGCCCATAATAACCAAGCTGCCTCATGCGTCAGACTACCATCTTTACACATGTCCTGGAGTTCGTACTTTTTAGGACTTTAGCCAGTCCGGTGGCACTGGGTAAAATCCATCTTACTATGAGATTCATCCTACCTCAAGTCTCTTGGGTGTATGGCCTGGGCAGCAAGCCGTTCAAAGATGTACTGCAGTGGTGAATGTAAGGAATGCTTCTCACTGACAAGAGCCACTGAACATTTGCCTAAGAGGTCACCCGTCAAACCAGCTTCACACATCAGTTGCTGGTTTCGTTCTGTGCGGACTAAGGACTGCAAATGAAGATGATACAAATTAGCACAACAAAAGGGATTTAACATGAGACAACAGATTTACAGATCCCTAGAAGAAAAAGAATAAACAAAATACCCCCATATATGAACACATATATGGAGCCAAAAAAAAAAAACAGTAAATAACAATCACCATCATCATCATCATAATTAAAAATAAAATAAAAACTCTTTAACCTCAACTTACTTTGATAAGATGTGCAGTGTAGAGCTGAAGCATGCATGCTAGCCTGGGATGTGATGGGTGCTGTATGGAGGGCAGGAGACGTAGTAAGGCGGTGAGCACTCCAGCATGCACGATGACTGGCTCAGCTGGAGTGGGGCCGAGGTTGAGTCCTCCAACAGGTCGCTTATTACTCGGGGATATGTCTGTCACCTTGTTCTGTAATGTGGGAGATGACTAGAATTATATAACCTTTTGCAAATTCTTCTCTTTTTACAAAGACTGCTGCAGGCATTAATCCCTAAAACACAAACCATCTTACTTATTTCAAAAGGCACATGAAAGGAAGTCAAATCAAAACAAATCAAATCCACAAACCACAAGAAACACATGAGCCCTATTCAGAAAATATCAAATTGCAAAAGGTTCCAAAAGCAATCCACACTTACATCCCCCCAGATGTTGATGTGACAGGAAGGTGTGAAGGTTGGGACAGAGGGCTTGTCAAAGGCATCCAGTGCCAATGTGGTACATCAACTGTAAGATTTTGCACCACACGTACCAGGGATACGGGAAATATAAGGAGGTGGCATGTTGATTGGAGCCAGAAGACATCATAATTAAAAATAAAATAAAAACTCTTTAACCTCAACTTACTTTGATAAGATGTGCAGTGTAGAGCTGAAGCATGCATGCTAGCCTGGGATGTGATGGGTGCTGTATGGAGGGCAGGAGACGTAGTAAGGCGGTGAGCACTCCAGCATGCACGATGACTGGCTCAGCTGGAGTGGGGCCGAGGTTGAGTCCTCCAACAGGTCGCTTATTACTCGGGGATATGTCTGTCACCTTGTTCTGTAATGTGGGAGATGACTAGAATTATATAACCTTTTGCAAATTCTTCTCTTTTTTACAAAGACTGCTGCAGGCATTAATCCCTAAAACACAAACCATCTTACTTATTTCAAAAGGCACATGAAAGGAAGTCAAATCAAAACAAATCAAATCCACAAACCACAAGAAACACATGAGCCCTATTCAGAAAATATCAAATTGCAAAAGGTTCCAAAAGCAATCCACACTTACATCACCCCCAGATGTTGATGTGACAGGAGGTGTGAAGGTTGGGACAGAGGGCTTGTCAAAGGCATCCAGTGCCATGTGGTACATCAACTGTAAGATTTGCACCACACGTACCAGGGATACGGGAATCTCAGGAGGTGGCCTGTTGGATTGGAGCCAGAAGAATATTGACAGGAAGGATCATGTGAGTAAAATAAGCAATAATTCTTATAAGATCTGTCTGCACTTCTAGTACCATTCACAAGAAAATGTTTTTTCCTTTTTAATCAACTAAAAAAAAAAAAAAAAAGTAAATCTGAAGCTGAACCTGCTGCATTTAGTATCATGACTGTCAGCCAGCAGATTTTCAAACTCTAAGGAGCCACCCAGAATTTTAAAAATGTAAGCACACAATGAGAAATACCCACAACCAAACAAATCAGAAGTCCCTACAGCCATAAAAGCATAACGTGCAGAAATCCCGACTCACATATACTCCAGTATGGGCGTGGTGAAGATGGTGTGGAAGGTGGTCAGATCAACCCCATCTGAGGAGCAGTCTTTGGCAACCACAGCTTCTGAAGGCTGGTCCTCTGTCAACCCTTCCTTGCTGTCTTGCAATGTCGTCTCGGTCATGAAGCAACCCAGCAGGCGCAGGGTGTCGCAGAAACTGGTGTAACAAATCTGGTAAAGAAAGGTTATTTTTCATCAGAGCCAGTTAGATGAGCAGTTTACTTAGCATTCAAATTTCTACCACTACTAAGTTGAAGGGAAGGGAAGGGAAGAGAAGGGAAGGGAAGGGAAGGGAAGGGAAGGGAAGGGAAGGGAAGGGGAAGGGGAAGGGAGGGGAGGGGAAGGGAAGGGAAGGAGGGGAAGGAAGGGGAAGGGAAGGAAGGGAAGGGAAGGAGGGGAAGGGAAGGAGGGGGAAGGGGAAGGGAAAGGGAAAGGGAAAGGGAAAGGGGAAGGGGAAGGGGAAGGGGAAGGGGAAGGGAAAGGGAAAGGGAAAGGGAAAGGGAAAGGGGAAGGGAAAGGGAAAGGGAAAGGGAAAGGGAAAGGGGAAGGGGAAGGGGAAGGGGAAGGGGAAGGGAAAGGGAAAGGGAAAGGGGAAGGGAAGGGGAAGGGAAGGGGAAGGGAAGGGGAAGGGAAGGGGAAGGGGAAGGGAAAGGGAAAGGGGAAGGGGAAGGGGAAGGGGAAGGGGAAGGGAAGGGGAAGGGAAGGGAAGGGGAAGGGAAGGGGAAGGGGAAGGGGAAGGGGAAGGGAAGGGGAAGGGGAAGGGGAAGGGGAAGGGAAGGAAGGGGAAGGGGAAGGGGAAGGGAAGGAAGGGGAAGGGGAAGGGAAAGGGAAAGGGGAAGGGGAAGGGAAAGAGGGGGAGAGAGGGAGGTAGGTAGGTAGGTAGGTAGGTAGGTAGGAAAGTAAGCAGGAAAGTAAGCAGGAAAGTAAGCAGGAAAGTAAGCAGGAAAGTAAGCAGGAAAGTAAGCAGGAAAGTAAGCAGGAAAGTAAGCAGGAAAGTAGGCAGGAAAGTAGGCAGGAATGTAGGTAGGTAAGTAGAGACTAAGACAGAGACTAAGACAGAGACTAAGACAGAGACTAAGACAGAGACTAAGACAGAGACTAAGACAGAGACAGAGAGACAGAGACAGACACATAGACAGACAGACAGATAGGCAGGCAGGCAGGCAAGCAGATAGACAGACAGACAGACAAATACATACATAAATAGATTACAGTATCACATACCTCCTGATGAAAAAATTTCGCATTGGCCGGTTCATATCTCATGGCGGTGGTGAGTGTGTTGAACACATTTAACAAGAGTGTGAGGATCTGTCTTGAGGGCACTCCATTCCAGGCAGGAGGTGTGATGTCTCCTAGACTTCCTTCCAAACTTACAAGGGCACTCATAACATAGACAAATCCCCCGACTTTACGGAATACAGTTCTCGTGCGGTGAGATTCTTTAAGGCAGACTAGAAGCGACTGGGGGGGGAGAGATTGGGACAATTGTTAGAAACTTGAATTCAGGTAATGATTAAAAGAAGGGGGGAGAAAAAATAAGACAGTCTATCCAAGTGTGACACAATAAAAAAAATACACATACAGCTAGAAATTATCATGAACTAATTGAAAAATATCAACCTTGAGAATATCAGTCTTTAGCTGGAGTTCTGTCGGAGCAGCAGAGTGCAGGAGGCCTAGTAATGAGCCCATGTCGTCATCACTGCCACTAGCGAGGATCAGCTGTTGCATGACACCTGCCAATCAAAAAAATATTAAGAATATATGATCTAAAATAATAAACTGCACTAATACAAATATACCAAACAGAAAAAATAAAAGGATCACTAAAAACACAAAAACAGAATCAATAAACATAAAACTAATACCATCCTCACCTCTCACTACCTATAACACCATTTAATATCTTAGACAAAATTGCTTCAAAGGTACAAAACACAAACAAGGAAAGTCACTGTCACACATCAATCACTCACCCAGTGCTTGGTGACGACATTCAAGGTGGGGAACTAGTGCCACTGCACACTTGGCGCCACCCGACTCCCTGAAAACTGCAGCGTTCTGACTGTTGGACGCCAAGAGGTGTGTGAGTGCTTCCATCACTAGGAATCCTAGACGTTCCTCTGGAGTCAATCCTTCTGCTGGAGTTGCAATTACGAAATTTAGGTTAGGTTGTTAATCCCTTCACTGACTGACTATTTTCACTATCCCCTCCCCCCCATATCCTGTGGCTCATGCTTTTTGTTTTTTCTCATGCTGATTAAAAATTCTAAGATGACTACTATTGTGTATCTGACAGGGGATTTTCTTTCCCAAAACTGTCAACAATCACATGGTAATCTAAACTTAAAATAATACTTTTGAACTGAAAGTGTGTTGGCAAATAAGAAAATAAGAAATCCCTTACAGCATTAAATAATATTTTCAATCAAAAAAGTCAGATCAGTCTTCCAATTTTTCTACTAGAGCATGTCATAAGAAAAAAGCAAGACAGTGGTCCCAACACTGTAATGAGAATAGGAAAATCTCACAAATATAATCCCATTTATCCACTAAAAGTAATGGTAAGTTTTCAAAGTAATGAAATTAAGGTTTGGCATGTATAAAATTAGTTACCTTTCCAGCTAAATACAGATAGTCCCCTACTTAAGAACATTCTACTTCTGAACATTCCATACATACAAACAAAAAAAGTGTTTGAAAGATGCTAGCAAACTTCAAATTTCCTGGGCACGAATATAGTTCAAGAGTCTGGTACTGTATAAGGTATGTTGTACTTATTGGGATTTACTTACAGGTATTCTTAATGTAAGCAAAACTTTAATACAATGGGTAAAAGGGTAATGGAGACCTGACTTTCGACATACAAACAAATCAACTTACAGCCTCTCGGACCCCATTATGTTCTTAAGTTGGGGACTTACTGTATATAAAAAGAATCTGAAAAACTTCTTCTACAGAGTCCTTTGCACAAATGCCACTTAAAAAAAATCAATTTTGTGTAGCTTTACCATAAAGTGAAAACTGTTAGTAGGCCA